TGGACGTTTGGTCTGACCCAGTACGGCCGTTCTTACGTTCTTTGGTTCTTATGTTATGTTCTCATCAGAGAAACTGTCATGTGACCACGATAGATGGCCAGCAGTCTGGAGACTAAGAAGTTAATGATACTAACCCAGGTAGAGTTGGCCAATAGGAATGTAGGTAGACCTCTCCAGCTTAGTGTCATCCGCAAACTTGCTGAGGGCGCAACCCATGCCCTCAGCCAGGTCATTAATGAAGATGTTGAACAAAACCGGTCCTAGAACCGAACCTTGGGGCACTCCGCTAGAAACCGACCGCCATCCTGACATCGAGCCGTTGATCACTACCCGTTGAGCCGGACAATCTAGCCAACTTTCTATGCATCATTCTGTCCATTTATCCAATCCACATTCCCTTCACTTGCTGGCAAGAATATTGTGGAGACCGTATCAAAAGCCTTGCTAAAGTCAAGGTCTATCACATCCACCGACTTCCCGATATCCACAGAGTCAGTTACGTCATCAGAGAAACTGTCATGACCATGAGAAATGGCCAGCAGTCTTGGGTCTAAGGAGTTAACGATACCTAACCCAAGTAGAGTTGGCCAATAGGAATGTAGGTAAGAATTTCAAACTGGGACAGAGGAATTTTGGGGTTTTTCCCTCGTTTTTCTCTGGGTAGTTTCTCTCCAGCTAGTGAGGGAGACAGACAGAATGCTCCTCCAAGAAAAGATTTCACTATCTGTAAGAATTCACTATCTGTAAGTAGGGTAACGTTGATTGTTTTATGGTTTGGAACATGGGATCGGATATCTGTGCATCAGGAAATTTATTTCGAAAGAACGGCTGTTATTTCGAAAGAACTTTGCTGTGTAGACATACCCTAAGCCTCTGGCCCATGGTGGGTTTCCCCTCCATGCGTACATCACTTTGTTTCTTTTCCATCTAGTCATGATGCCTGCAACACGAATATTGTGGCGATAATAAAAGTTCTTTCTCTTTTCTTTGTATTAATCTGGTGTTGGTTAATTTGTGTGTCCTGGTTTGGACTTTCGGGGTGAGATGTCCCAAGTGATCTCTCCTCGGGTTTTCTTGCCAGTACTTGAGTGGAGGCCGCGGAGTTTTTCTCCCAAAATCTAGGTTGTTAAGATTTGGGGCCGGGGGAAGGGAGAGAGTTTTAACCAAAGCCTGGTAGAGAAGGCCCCCACTTCTGCATTTATCGTTCCAAATTGGGGATGAACCCTTGACGGAAGGTCATCAGGTTGGTCGGGCACGACTTGCCCTTGGTGAATCCATGTTGACTGTTCCTGGTCACTTTCGCCTCTTCCAAGTGCTTCAAAATGGATTCCCTGAGGATCCCCTCCTGGATTTTTCTCCTTTCTGACCAAGCGGCGGGATGTGGGAGGGGGCCCAGAAAACATCGCACTGATCTAGATACGAGACGGGCCCAGAAAGCTGGGATTCGGGCAGCCCCCAGGTGGGGTGGGAGCCGTGGCTGAGAAACCAACAGAGGACAGGCTCAGAAATGAGCGGGCCCAGCGTGGCGAGGCGGAAATCAGGCTCATCAGTGAATGAGCTTGTAATGACGTCTGCTCACCCCATCCCAGGAATAAAGCTATCCCGGGGCGAGGACACCTCCTGATCTGCCGCGGGGTCGTCAGCCCTCTCCTTAGCCTGTACATACCCCTGGTCTCGGGGCAGTCCCACGAGTCAATAAATAGCACGAGTCGCTGGGCAGTGTGGCCTACTAGCAGAGTCACCCTTGCCTCAGGGCAGTGCGGCTCAATGGCCAGAGTCAGGGAGTCACCCTTGGCTCAGGGCAGTGCGGCCTGGTAGTCAAAGTCTCTAGGACATCTGTCGCCGCTCTGCTTAGCGGTCTCTTCCTCGTCACTGGCTGCTCCAGACTGAGCTGCTCTCTGTCTAGGATCTCTGTCGCCGCTCTGCTTAGAGGTCCCTTCCTGGTCACTGGCTGCTCCAGACTGAGCTGCTCTCTGGCCTTTTATACTGCCTCCGCACTTGGAGCATGCCCAGTTTGCTTGAAGGGGCGGGGCTTTATTTAATCCCTCTTTTTGTAAGGTGGGGCATGCTCAGCTCGCCCTGGCATGGAGGTAAGGAAGGGACGCGCCCCTGCCCCGGCCCCGCACGCCTTTTGAGAGGCGAACACAGAGACTTGGGGGCATGGAAAAGGCGGGAAGGACTCCGGGAGACAGGCCGGCTCGGCTCCAGAGACCCTGCCCGGCATTGGGGAGCCGGGATAAGCCGGCCATCCGGACCAGCATGCCGGTGGGGACGCCAGACCCTCCCTCGACACATGTGCGCCACCAGCCCTTCCCTCGGGGTGTGGCTACACAGCAAAGTTAGTTCGAAATCACATTCCTCGCGGCGACAAGCCAACTGCTCTTTCGCAATTCATTCAAAAAAGCGGAGGGCGCATTTCGAAATGGGGAAACCTCCTTCCACGAGGAATAGCGCCCATTTCCAAATGGCTATTTCGAAATA